TTCCCAACATTCCCGATCTCATTCCACATCCCCAGAATTCCTCAAATCCCAGAACCCCGTGGGCTTCCACTGTTCCCAATCCCAATATTCCCGATATTCCCGACAGGATCAGGGCGCTTTCCTGGCGCAGGAAGTGCAGCTCCCATTCCCATCGTTCCCAATCCCATTCCCATCATTCCCAATCCCATTCCCATTCCCAATATTCCCATCATTCCCATCATTCCCAATCCCAATATTCCCAATATTCCCATCATTCCCAATCCCAACATTCCATTCCCATCATTCCCAATCCCATTATTCCCATCATTCCCATCATTCCCAATCCCGACATTCCCGACATTCCCGATATTCCCGACATTCCCGACATTCCCGGTACCGGGCTCGGGTTCCTGCAGGATCAGGACGTTTTCCCGGCGCAGGAAGTGCAGCTCCCATTCCCAATCCCATCATTCCCATCATTCCCAATCCCGACATTCCCGACATTCCCAATCCCATTCCCGACATTCCCGACATTCCCGGTACCGGGCTCGGGTTCCTGCAGGATCAGGACGCTTTCCCGGCGCAGGAAGTGCAGCTCCCGCGCCACGTGGCACGCCGTCAGCGGGCTGTCCCCGGTGATCATCACCACCTGCAACACCGGAATCCCGGCAATTCCCAAGAATTCCCGGGAAAATCCGCGTTTTCCCGCTTTTCCCATGGCATTTTCCCGCTTTTCCCATGGGATTTTCCCGCTTTTCCCCTTGGAATTTTCCCCCCTTTCCCCTTGGAATTTTCCCCCTTTTCCCCTTGGAATTTTCCCTCTTTTCCCATTGGAATTGTCCCCCTTTTCCCATTGGAATTTTCCCTCTTTTCCCTTTGGAATTTTCCCCCTTTTCCCCTTGGAATTTTCCCCCTTTTCCCTTTGGAATTTTCCCTCTTTTCCCATTGGAATTTTCCCCCTTTTCCCTTTGGAATTTTCCCTCTTTTCCCATTGGAATTTTCCCTCTTTTCCCTTTGGAACTTTCTCTCTTTTCCCTTTGGAATTTTCTCTCTTTTCCCATTGGAATTTTCCCTCTTTTCCCATTGGAATTTTCCCCTTTTCCCTTTGGAATTTTCTCTCTTTTCTGTCTGGAATTTTCCCTCTTTTCCAATGGGGATTTTCTCAATTTTCAACCTCAAAATTTCCCTGTTTTTGCCCAAATTTTCCCATTCTTCACCCCTGAAAATTCCCAATTTTCCCCCCTGGAAATTCCCCCATTTTCAACCCTCCCCAAAACCCGGGAATTCCCGGAATTCCCGGGATTCCTCACGTGGTGGGAAGCGCTCTGGATCTCTCGGATCACGGCCTTGGAGTCGGCTTTCAGTGGGGAGGAGACCACGATGAATCCCACAAATCTCAGGTCGCATTCCAGGGATTCCCTCTTCATCTCCCGCACCTTTTCCATGGAAAAATCCGGGATTCAGCATTCCCAAGCCCCTTCAAAAGGCAAATTCCCTCCTCCCACCGGTGATTCCCGGGATTTGGAGCATCCCTGGAATGAGTTTAGCGCTCCCAAAAGCTTGGAGTGATCCCAAATTCCCAAAAGAAAAGGGATTTTCCCTGGAAAAATTCCTTTAAAAACCACAAATTCCACCCCTCCTTTTCCCAACCCTTCTCCCAGCGCTTCCCAGGCCTGGAATTCCGGGATTTTTCCCGTTTTTTCACCTGCTGGTGGCTCAGGGCTCCCAGTTCTTTGTATCCCAGGGCCAGGACCCGCGCGCCCTCGTGGGAGAATTCCCGATGGATCTCGTGGTAGTTCCTGGGACATTGGGATAACTGGGAAAAAACAACCAGGAAAACATTCCTTGAGTGAGGAAACTGAAAAAATTCCAGAGGGTTTTGGTGGAAAATTGGGAAAAATGAGATTTGAAGGGGAAAAGGAGGCGGGGATTTGGGAGAATCCCGGTGGAATTTGGGATAATTCAGGATAATTCCTTTAGAATTTACAGTCCCCACCCCTTTTCATCTCCTTGATCTCCCAAGATTCCCATTTTTCCCTGGAATTTCCCTCACCTCAGGCTCTGGGCCCATTTTTCCCTGGAATTTCCCTCACCTCAGGGCCCAGCAGCCATTTTGACCTCCCACCATTCCCAGATTTTCCTTCAACCCAGAATTTCCCTGGAATTTTCCCTCACCACAGGCTTTGGTGAACCTCTCTGACCTCCCAGCATTCCCAAATCCCCATTTTTCCACGGAATTTCCCCATTTTTCCATGGAATTTCCCTTGACTACGTTTGGGCCCATTTTTCCCCTCACAGCAGGGTGGCCATTTTGTCCTCCCGGCATTCCCAATTTCCCATTTTCCCACTGTTTTTTCCCGGAATTTTTCCCCTCACCATGGCGTGCAGGATCTCCAGAGCATTCCCACCATTCCCAGCTCGTCATTTTTCCCTGGAATTTCCCTCACAACAGGCTCTGGGCCCATTTTTCCCTGGAATTTCCCCTGCCTATGGGCACTGGGCCCATTTTTCCCCTCACCGCAGGGCGGCCATTTTGTCCTCCCGGCATTCCCAATTTCCCATTTTCCCACCGATTTTCCCCGGAATTTTTTCCCTCACCATGGCCTGCAGGGTCTCCAGAGCATTCCCACCATTCCCAACTCCCTGTTTTTCCATGGAATTTACCTCACAGCAATCTCTGGGCCCATTTTTCCACGGAATTTCCCCTGCCTATGGGCACTGGGCCCATTTTTCCCCTCACCGCAGGGCGGCCATTTTGTCCTCCCGGCATTCCCAATTTCCCATTTTCCCACCGTTTTTCCCCGGAATTTTTCCCCTCACCATGGCGTGCAGGGTCTCGGGAGCGCCCTTGACGGCCGCCAGGTATCGGATTTCTCCGGAGGCGTTTTCCAGGGAAGCCAGCACCGCCATCCTCTTCAGGGCACTGGAGAAATGAAAGCGCTGGTGAATTCTCATTCCCGGAGTTTTTAGACTCCTCGGGAAAACTTTCTCATCTGGAAACAAAGGAAATCAGGAAATCCTGAAAGGGGGTGCTGGGAGGGAAAAGGGGGAATCGGGAATGAGGGGGGAAAAGAGGAATTTTGGGGTGGTTTGAAAGGGATTTGGAGGCATTTGGGTGGAATTCTGAGGGGTTCGGGTGGAATTTGGCGGGAATTTCAGGGAATTTGATGGAATTCTGGATAACTGTAGGGAATTCAGGAGGAATTTCGGACAATTTAGACGGAATTAATGGGAATTCGGGAGGAATTTTGGCTAATTTATACAAAATTATTGGGAATTCAGGTGGAATTCTGGATGGTAAGGATGGAATTCCGACGGATTTTCGTGAGGGCTTTGTGGGATTTTTGTGAGGATTTTGTGGAATTTTTTTGGCGAGGATTTTCTGAGGATTTTTTTGTGGTATTCTGTGAGGATTTTGTGGAATTTCTCTGGAGATTTTGGAGGTTTTTTTGGTCAGGGTTTTGGGGAAATATTTGGATTTTTTTTTGTGGGATTTTGTGGGACTTTTGAGAGGGATTTTAAGAAATATTTTGTGGGATTTTCTGGGATTTTGGGAATCATTTTGTGGGATTTTTCTGGAAGGATTTTGTGGGATTTTCTGGGGACTCTATCATTTTGTGGGATTTTTCTGGAAGGATTTTGTGGGATTTTCTGGGGACTCTGTGGGAAATTTTGGGGTGATTTTGTGAGGTATTTTGTACCATTTTCTGTGAGGATTTTATGGGAATTTTGGCATCATGTGGTGGGATTTTTCTGGAAGGATTTTGTGGGATTTTTGGACGTGATTTTAAGAGGTATTTTGTACAATTTTCTGTGGGGATTTTGTGGGATTTTTGTGAAAGGATTTTGTGGGATTTTTTTGGGACTCTCTGGGATTTTTTGGGGTGATTTTAAGAAATATTTTGTACTATTTTCTGTGGGGATTTTATGGGAATTTTGGCATCATTTTGTGGGATTTTTCTTGAAGGATTTTCTGGGATTTTTGGGGGATTCTGTGGGACTTTTTGGGGCGATTTTAACAGATATTTTTTCCAACTTTCTGTGGGAATTTTCCGTGATTTTTGCCATCATTTTGCAGGATTTTTCTGGAAGGATTTTGTAGGATTTTTTGTGGGATTTTGTGGGACTTTTGGGAGGGATTTTAAGCGATATTTTGTACTATTTTCTGTGGGGATTTTCTGGGATTTTTGGCATCATTTTGTGGGATTTTTCTGGAAGGATTTTCTGGGATTTTTCTGGAAGAATTTTCTGGGATTTTTCTGGAAGGATTTTCTGGGATTTTTCTGGAAGAATTTTCTGGGATTTTTCTGGAAGAATTTTCTGGGATTTTTGGGGGATTCTGTGGGATTTTTTGGGGTGATTTTAAGAAATATTTTGTAGTATTTTCTGTGGGGATTTTCTGGGATTTTTGGCATCGTTTTGTGGGATTTTTCTGGAAGGATTTTCTGGGATTTTTCTGGAAGGATTTTCTGGGATTTTTCTAGAAGGATTTTGTGGGATTTTGGGGGGATTCTGTGGTATTTTTTGGGGCAATTTTAACAGATATTTTGCAGGATTTTCTGTGGGGATTTTCTGGGATTTTTGGCATCATTTTGTGGGATTTTTCTGGAAGGATTTTCTGGGATTTTTCTGGAAAGATTTTGTGGGATTTTTGGGGGATTCTGTGGGATTTTTTGGGGCAATTTTAACAGATATTTTGTAGGATTTTCTGTGGGGATTTTATGGGAATTTTCTGGCATCATTTTGTGGGATTTTTCTGGAAGGATTTTCTGGGATTTTTCTAGAAGGATTTTGTGGGATTTTTGGGGGATTCTGTGGGATTTTTGGGGGATAATTTTAACAACAATTTTGTCCAACTTTCTACGCGAATGTGGGATTTTTGGGGGATAATTTTAACAACAATTTTGTCCAACTTTCTACGCGAATTTTCCGTGATTTTTACCACCATTTTGCGGGATTTTCCTGAAACGTTTTCCCAGCATTTTGCCCCCCTTTTTTTAAGCTTTTCCTACCCAAAACGCCTCAGAATTCCAGGAAAAATGGGGGATTTGGGATTTACCTTTGGTCAGGGTCCAATCCACGGCAGTCAGCATGGCTTTTTCCAAAGGATCTCCCACGATTGTCCCGTCCTCCAGCTGCACCAGGGAGTGGCAGCAGGCGATGGCCCGGTGAGTTTCCAGAGGGATTTCCGACACCGGCACCACTTCCTTGCCTTCCCTGAGGGAAAAATCGGAATTTTTGGCATCATCCCGAAGGGTTTTTGTGAAGAGGATCGGTGGGGAGTTGAGGTGAGTGGAAAAAATGGGTGAAATGTTTAAAATTTTGTTTAAAATGCCATTAAATATGCTGGGGAGTCTTATCAAAAAATCTGTAAAAATGACACAAAAAATTCTGATAAACTAAAAAAAAAAATTTTCCTAAAAAATTTCCATGAAAAATCCCACAAAACCTCACCAAAAAACACATAAAAGTGCCACCAAAAATCCTGATAAAATAAGATAAAATTTCTCCCTAAAAATCTCCACAGAATTCCACAAAAAATCCCACAAAACCCCACCAAAAATCCCATAAAAATTTCTGATAAACTAAAATAAAATTTTCCTAAAAAATTCCATGAAAAATCCCACAAAACCTCACCAAAAAACACATAAAAGTGCCACCAAAAATCCTCATAAAATAAATTAAAATTTCTCCCTAAAAATCCCCACAGAATTCCACAAAAAATCCCACAAAACCCCACCAAAAAACACATAAAAATGCCACAAAAATTTCTGATAAACTAAAAAAAATTTTTCCCTAAAAAATCTCCACAAAAAATCCCACGAAACCCCACCAAAAAACACATAAAAGTGCCACCAAAAATCCTGATAAAATAAAATAAAATTTCTCCCTAAAAATCTCCACAGAATTCCACAAAAAATCCCACAAAACCCCACCAAAAATCCCATAAAAATGCCATCAAAAATCCTCATAAAATAAAATAAAATTTCTCCCTAAAAATCCCCACAGAATTCCACAAAATTTCTCCCTAAAAATCCCCACAGAATTCCACAAGATTCCTCCATAAAATTCCACAAAAAAATCCCAAAAAACCATCACGAAATCTTCCCGTAAAATATCAAAAAAAATCCCACAAAAAAAATTGCACAAAAGCCTCACAGAATCCTCACGAAATTCCCAAAAAAATCCCAGGATTTTTGTGGAATTCTGTGGGGATTTTTAGGGATGATTCTAATTTTTTTTTAATCCCAATAAAAAAGTCAAAAATCGCAATAAAAACGTCAAAAATTCCAATAAAATGTCAAAAATCCCAATAAAAACATCAAAAATCCCAATAAAATGTCAAAAATTCCAATAAAAACGTCAAAAATTCCAATAAAAATATCAAAAATTCCAATAAAAACGTCAAAAATTCCAATAAAAACGTCAAAAATTCCAATAAAAATGTCAAAAATTCCAATAAAAGTATCAAAAATCCCAATAAAATGTCAAAAATCCCAATAAAAACATCAAAAATCCCAATAAAATGTCAAAAATTCCAATAAAAACGTCCAAAAATTGTCAAAAATCCCAATAAAAACATCAAAAATCCCAATAAAATGTCAAAAATTCCAATAAAAACGTCAAAAATTCCAATAAAAATGTCAAAAATCCCAATAAAAACGTCAAAAATTCCAATAAAAATGTCAAAAATCCCCATAAAAACGTCAAAAATCCCCATAAATACGTCAAAAATCCCAATAAAAACGTCAAAAATCCCCATAAATACGTCAAAAATCCCAATAAAAACGTCAAAAATCCCAATAAAAACGTCCAAAAATTCCAATAAAAATGTGAAAAATCCCAATAAAAACGTGAAAAATCCCAATAAAAATCCCCAAATTGCAGAAAAACCCCCGTTTTTGGGGATTGCCGGGGTTTTCCCGGCGGGAATTTGGGGATCAGGACTCACCTGAGCCCGGCCACCCCTCGCACCACGAGGTGGTCGCTGGTCAAGGTCCCGGTTTTATCGAAGCAGCAAACCTGGACCTTCCCGGCGAAGGGGATCCGGAAAGGTTCCGTGCAGTAAACGTCTGGAAAAACGGGAAAAGTGGGAATTTCGGGAGTGGGGAGGGGTCGGGGGAAAATGGGG